ATCCTTAGTGTGGATAGCTAAGGTAGTGGACGTAGACTTTGGTTGAGAAAGTCGAACCACTCTAAATCGCTATGCAAATTTCTTTCAATTTTCCGCAAAAGCTTCCACCAAAATTTTTATTGCCAATTCACCCCCCTCTTGGCCATATTCGTCCATCGATTAACTCAACATCAGCCTTCTCTCTAGAAGTTCATTCGTGTTCTTCATTGTTATTTGAATAAACCTTCATTTGATATTCAAAAACACCAAATCCCAAACATTTTTCTGCTTTTTTGGATCAAACACACGGAATTTCATCCTTGTTCATCCGAGTTCATACCAAAACCCTCATTTGATCTTCATAAACACCAAAACCCATACGATTTCTTTTTTTCGATCAAACACCCAAAATTTTCTCCCATGTTCATCTGTATTCATCCAGTTCATATTTTTTCTTCACAAACACCAAAACACATACCATTTCCTTTTTTCTTGATCAAACCCTAAACCCAAGCAACAAGTCATCCTTATTCTTCCCCAAACCATTCTTTTATCCTTACAATTACCCAAAAGTAAAAATTAATTTGTTTTTTATCAAACCCAAACCCTAACACCATTTTATCTTATGTAACCTAACCCCAACCCTGAACATGAACCCTAAACCCAAACCAGAACCAGAACCCAAATCTAAACCCAAACATAAAAAAACCCTAATCAATCCTATTCTATCTTTTCATCTTCTATACCCACGACTGTTCTTCATCTTCTTCCTCTTCTTCCATCTCTGTTAATATTTGAAACCTTTATTTTTCAGGGGTTTCATGGACAGTCTTTCTTACGAGTTGAATTATCCAGGTATATTTGTTTTTTTGTTTTTTTGTTTTTATTTTAATATTGTTCATTAATATATTATTCATTTCTTTTGTAGGAGAAAACCTAACAAATCAGAATGAAGAACATTCTGAAAGAGGTAAATATATTGTCCTCTGTAGCTATTGTTTATTTGTTTCCTCTGTAGTCCTTGTTTTTGTTGTTGGTTGTTCATTCGGATTGGTTGTATAAGGTTGTTAGTTGCCTTTGTTTGTAGCTTAATAAAGGTTTAATTTTTACAATATTAACCCTAGCTTTTTTTTTGCAAGGGGATGTAAATGATATATTGTCCGAAGCAGTTGATATAAATAAATCCTCTAAGAGGAAGTCCACTGGTTCATCCAAATTTGGGAGAGGAACCTCTCCTGTTTGGGATCACTACACATTCACCAAATATGATGATGGTTTTTTATGCCGAGTGTAAGTATTGCAAAGTGAAAAGGTATAAAGTTTATTCTTATATTGGTACATCTAACCCTAGAAGGCATACTGAGAAATGTCAAACTTATAAGAATTTTCTTGCTGAAAATCCTAGTAGTGTAGCTTCTTTTGATCAAAACAAATATTGTGAATTGTTTGCTAATGTTATTTTGTGTCATGGTTATGCATATAGTATTGTTGAGCATGAAAAACTTAGGGATTTACATCATCACCTTAATTATTCTGTTAAGGATATATCTAGGTATACTTTTACTAAGTATTGCATGTTAGAGCATGAAAAGCATAAAAAATATTACTTGATTCAATGCATTCTGTCTCAAGTCGTGTTTGTTTTACATGTGATGCTTGGTCTGCATGTACTTCACGTTCTAAATTTTCCCTTACTGGTCATTATATTGATAATAACTGGAAACTTCAGTCTAAAATACTTACTTTTCGTCATTTTCCTCCTCCTCGTGATGGTGAGTCTATCTTTAAGTTTGTGAAAAAAAATTATATGTGAGTGGGGTCTTGAAAAAAAATGTTTACCATTACACTTGATAATGCTTTTGCAAATGATATAATGGTTAATAGACTGAAAGAAGATTTGAATGTCATTTCTCCTCTTCCCTGCAATGGTAAGTACTTCCATGTAAGGTGTTCTGCCCACATTTTGAACTTGATAGTTCAAAAAGGTTTGAAGGTAATTGATTCTTCTGTTAATAAATTACGTCAGATTGTTAAGTTTATTGATTCTTTTGACTCTCGACTTTGTGCCTTTAAATTAGCTGTTAAAGATTGTGATTCTTCTTTCTCTGATAAGTTAGTATTTGATGTTCCTACTTGTTGGAATTATACTTACTTGATGATTCATAGGGCACTTAAGGCTAGATTAGCAATTAACTTATTTGTTAATATGGAAAATGAGTTGGATATCATTACTGATCATGAATGAGAAACAGTTCAAACAATATGTGATTTTCTTAAGCCTTTTTATAAAACTACTACTCTGTTTTATGGTTCTAAGTATCCCACTTCTAACTTGTATTTGGCTAACGTTGTTGCAATTGAGAAATTGTTGTGTGATGCTCATAATGATCCTTGTGAAGGTATTTCTACAATGGCAGGACCCATGCTTGAACTATATGAGAAATATTGATCTGATCATTATATGATTTTGTCTTTTGTTGTTTTACTTGATCATCGATATAAATTATAACTTCTGAAGGAGTTGTACAATGTTCTTTATGTTGAGGATGAGGTTCAACATATGGTAAGTCTCATTTATGATGAGTTTCATGAGTTATATGTATTTTATTCAAAAAAAATGCACCTTGTGGTTCTTCCTCCTCTTCTTCTGTCCAAAGTAGCACATCCTTGGACAGAAGTGGCTCAAGTTTCAATCGGCCTCGAACATTTAGAAAATCAGATTTATTTCAGGTTAGTTAGTATAATTTCTAGTTGAATTTTAAATTATTTATTTCCTGTTTTCATTTACTAATTTTTTGTCTTTTGTTTTTCAGAATTTTGATGTCAATTTAGCTGCTTCAAGGAGTGGACAATCTAATGTTGACTCTTACATCAATTTGCCCCTTATCCCTCGTATTGGAGAATTTGACTTTGATATTTTGGAGTATTGGAAAAATCAAAGTGTTTCATATCATGTACTTTCTCGCATGGCGAGAGATATATTGGTTATTCCAATTACTTTAGTTGCATCTGAATTGTCCTTTAGTACGGGGTAGAATTTTGAACAAATTAAAAGCTTCACTCTTACCAAAAAATGTTGAGATTTTTTAAACAACCCGTAATTGGTTGTATGGTTTTGAGCCGGAGAATAAGGATGAAGACTACCTTATTGTGGTTAATGAGTCTGCTACGCAAAGGTATGATAGAATTGTTTTATTTTTTATTTTAATCTCAATATTTTAAACTATTTATTAATTATTTTTATTTTTAATTTTATTTCTAGGGTGTTTAACGTTAACTGAAACCATTGGAATTTGAGATTCTGTCTTGTTTCTTTCTTTTACCTGTAACTTCTATTTATTAATTACTTATTATATTTATTATGTTTAACAGTAGCTGAAACCAATTTTTATTGATGCTTCTGTTTTTTGTGGGATGTTTCTGTCGAAAGTAATACATCTTGATTTTGCTTGATATTATTTATGTTATTATAAACAATGTTGAATGCTTGATTATGTAAGGGTTTGGTAAAGTTGAAAATGTTTGGTACTATTGGTCATCGTATTCCCTTTGGCTTTACCGCTGACTGCATGATTGTTTAATGCCGAAATGCTGCCTTTTACTTCATGCTGCCTATTGCTGCATTGTAATTTATTTTGTTGGTATGACTTGAATAGATTGTTGAAACTTTTCATTTTTTCGAAATAGCTACTCATGTTAAATTAAGTTGGTAGATGTAAAAGTTGTCCGTAATTTAACAATGTTGGCAGCTATTTCAATACAAAAGCTCGATGAAGAAATTTCTGGTAGCAAAGATAGACTTTTAGCCTTATAAAGTTTTTGTTATAAGATCTTAGAGCTAAAAAAACACTGTTTTTTTTTCATTTTATTGTATTCAACTTTAATAACTCAAATGTTATTCAAATTTTAGATCAAATGTTATTTAAATTATCATTATCAATTAAATTTATCTTTTATATTATGTTTTATGTATGTTATAATTGTTAGATAATTTTTCTTTACAAAAATTAAACTGTATAGTTTATATTTATATTTTAGATAATTAATTACGTTCAATATCAATATTTATTTATTATCAAATTAATTATCATTTCATTGCCAAAATTATTTGTATTAATCATGTAAAACGCCAATATAAATTACAAAATAAATACTTACATTATTAATATTATTTTTCTTTACATAAATTAAACTATATAATTTACATAAATTAAATATATTAATTTACATTTAATTATTGTTCAATGTCAATATTTTTATTAATCATGTTTTATATAATTTACATTTAAATAATTTTATTAAATTTATTAAATAATTTTATATAATAAGTCTATTTATTAATTTAATTATTATAATAAATATTTTATTATAACATTTAAAAAATAATCATATTAATTTTTTAATTATATCATAAACTCAAAAACTCATAATTTTATTAAAACCTTATAATTTCGTCCATGATAATATATAAATCAGGTAAATGTCAAGTTAAGTAAATATCAGATTAGGTCAATAACAAGTCGGATCATTTACAAGTCAAGTTCATCACAGGTCAGGTTAAAAACAGGTCGAGTAATACCATTTATTTACCAGGTCAATCTCGGGTTCGAGTTCATATCAGTTGGATGCAGGTCGGGTTCAGATATTATTTTTTTCAGTTCAATTCGAGTTCAGGTCGTTCTCAAGTCGGGTGCAGGTCTGGTTCAGATCCACAATTTTCCTGTCCAACTCGGATTCAGGTAAACATCAGTTCCTACTCGAGTCGGTTTTGGATCGCTACAGCGTAGGTTAAAAACAATTTTGACTCGAGTCGGTTTCAGTCAGTTTTACAGGTCGAGTCAACTTTTTACATCCGTAGTTGACAGTTTCCATTAATCATGTCAAACAAAGACTGAAATTTTCGAAGATCATCTCCGAAGGTATAACACAACTTAATAAACCACTAACACACTTTACATATAAATTAAAGTTCATTTGAATAAAAGAGTTTACTTGAATAAAAAACAAATAATAGGGGCTTATTAAACGTAAAGGGTTTTTTTAAACAAAAGCAAAATAGTTTAAAAACCTGGTTATATTTTAACCATTATGCAGAACAAAAAGCTACTCAAACACAGCATCTCAACTCATTTTACAATGCATCTTCCCAAAAACATAAAAGCTGAGATCCATGGAATGTTTATATCCATATAAGAAATCAAGGATATATGTATGTATGTACGAGTCAGTAACTAAGGCCAAGTTGAAGTCCAAGTGTGGCATGGATAAGAAACAGAGCCATTATCCCACTACCTAAAATCCCATGCACGTTTCTTAATCCAGGGCTTCCCTACAAAATGTTTCAATATGTCATTATAGCACAAAACATAAGCATGTTGAGATTATGATCAAATCAAATGTTTCATCAATTACCTCAAACAATGTTGGCAAAATGGCTTGAATTGTCAAGAGAGTAAGACCAATGAAACCTGTAACAGCATGTGGACTGCAAAAACACAGATTTATTCATTCACGGTGGCTGCCAAAACGCGTTTCAGAATATAAAAATGGAATTAAATTACCTTTCAAAGATGGGTTTATCTGAAGTTGAAAGAGATGTTATTCCACCTGTTGCTCCTAAAGCAAAAAAGAAAAACATACCACCTAGAAGCTTTGGGTGCAAATCTTTAGCCTTGGCCTTTTCCTCCTAAAATTATAACACAAAATTCATTTTGTTACTGTCTGTATTTTCCGGTTTTAGGTTTCGCTGCTGTTTTATTAAGATTTCTTACCACGTCATCGGAATAGCGAATTCGGAAGCCTAGATAAGTTCCATACCCTCCCATGGCGAAAAGCACTACTGCCTAACAACATTGAAGGTAAATATTGGCTAAGAATAACGTAGCAATGCAAGCAGTGTCCAACAGATAAAGGCAAATAATCTTGTACCATGTTGCCAGGGTGCCCCCAATGCACAAGCCAGTCAGGAAGATTCCACGATTTCACTAGCTCAACAAAGGGACCAAATAGAGACCTCACAGTCCCAGCTGTTTGTAAACATATTCAAGCTTTGAATAAGTAAAGACTTGTATATACACATATATGTATATACTAAAAAAGATCCAAATTCTATCCTTTCAACAGTTTATCCAACACATCAATCAAATTCCATGGCAATTACAACAACTGAATGTCAAAGGGGCATGTTCATCTTTCCCTAAGATTTTTTCATATAACCATCACCTATAGTGTACATGGATGTCAACAAAAGTATTTTCTTTAAAAGAATGGAAGATTGAAACAACATATTTGACAGAAGCTGAAGTGAATGCAGCATATAATGTAATAGTTTTCTTTTACCTCCGGGAAGAGTAGCCACAAGTAGCAAAGGCAAAGGAGTGAAGGAGTACATTAATGTTTCTCCAGTCTTCTCCAACTCTTCCACTTCCACATCTCCTCCATCATCAGCTACACTGACCTCATTTTTCACAGCATAAGACTGAGTGAACATTACATTTCTGTTTCTATTTACTTGCGATACGAGAGGCAAACACTTGGATGGTGTAGGATGGCAACGAGGAATTGGAAAGGAAGGGGCAGCAGGGAGGATTGGAGCAGTGCTTAGACAAAAGGCAGTGGAAGCCATTTATGAAACAGCAAAGAAATGAAAGTAGGTGGGAGTTTGAAGTGGAGGATTAGAGAAATAAAAGAGTTGGATTGAGAGGATGAACAGAGGTAAAGTAGGAAAGGTTAGGAAAGATACACGCTTATAGTTACAGATGGTGGAACCTTTCCACGTGCTTTCCATACGCTCCCTTTTCTTTCTGAATAAATTACAAATTTATTTATTTAATTTTAATCTCTCCTATTTCATTTATTATACTTTTATTTTTTTTCTAATTTACTTATTAAATTTTATACATTAAACATTTTTTATCACTATTATTTTATTATTATTTTTCTATAACTGCAGATTTTTAAATATTATTAAATATAGAGGTAATTTAAGATAAATAATAAAAGAACATTTTATTATTATTAAATTTAAAAATATTTAAAATAATCACTATCACTTATCATTGTCGACCATCGTTGACCTTCGGAACTGACGACTGTGTAAATCTAGTGATTGTTTCATTAAAAAATATCCCAAAATTCATAAATCTAGACAAACAATTCAATTTTCTCACTTTTGTTCTTCCATTCGTGGACTATGAAACACATTCTGACAAAATGAAGATCAAATTCAGACTCAAGGGGCCAAGATGAAGTGACCGATGAAATATTGAATCCAACAACCACCATCTATGACCGTTGATAATGAAAAGTTGTGTTTAATTTAATATTCTAAATTATTTTTATATTAAATAATAATATGTCATACCAAAATAATAATAAAATAATTTATGATGACCAAAACAAGAATAATCTGAAAGTTCAGTGAATAAATTGAAAAAAATTAAAAGTACAATGAGTGAATAGTAGAGAAAGTTTAGTGAGTAAATTTGTAATTTACCCTTTCTTTCTAGATGGTTGAAAACCCAAAACACATTTATCAATTATCATCACCATATGAACCACCATATCAACTCAACAGCCAACATTTGTTTATATCCCTCGCAGTCAATATTTTTATATTGCTTAGAAAATCATATGTATGAAACAAAAAAAATGAAATAAAAAGAACGGTACTACTTATGCGATCAAGCATTAGAATACGCAAGCAAAATGGGTTTTATCACTACATCAGTAAGAAAATGAACGGTAGACCTTCCACAGCACCCAAAGTTCCTCTGCAATCAGGAGCTCTAGCTTTACCCACTGATTGCCAGACAAATGTACATCATTAATAGAGCCAAACATGCACTGCTCACATTGACATTAATGTTGGTCCATTATCCGGCATACCCATCCCAGCAGCCAACTCAGCATCAAGTTGAGTATGTGGTGCAGGTCCCGACATCTGCTTCATACTGCAGCAAATAAAAGCACATGTCAAACACATTCATCCTTTCAACTTTCAAGATATTCTAACTGCAATCATTAGTTTTTAGATTTTAGCTCATTGGCAGATCTAAGTTGCAACAACCAACAATACACATTTGAGATTCATATTTGCCATATGCAAATATTGAGAAAGGAAAAACTACATTTTCATTAAGGATTTAAGAAACAAATATGGAAGGACTAGCTTAAGTTTACATGAAAATCAAATGAAATTCGGCAATACTCAAAGACAGTGCTTGCGAGTTTACTAAGACCATGAAACATAATGTTTAGAACATGTGATCTACACTGTTAGCACTTTGAGATTGTGCGAAGTGTATGCTAAAAACTGTAACAACAAAATTTTCTCAATAACACCTGAAACACTCACAACTCAAATGATGATTCTAAACATAAAACCTCTACTAGTTAGAAACAAAAGAAAATACAGTGCCAAAAATAATAACATGAAAACTAGAATATGGAATTGCTCACCGTTTCTTGTGCCGTTTCGTCTTAAAATGTTCATCCCTCACAGTTGAATTCGCAAAATATCGGCTGAATAAGTAGAAAATAATGGAACATGTTCAAATTAACAAACAAATTGCCTATACTAGAATTCAATTTTCATATTCTATGTTTCATTTTTATAGTAAAAAAAACAATACATTAAGGAAATTATAAAAATAAATTCATAAACAATTGTTCTTACTCGCAGTGTAAGCAGTAAAATTGACCCATTCCAGGCAAATCTTCATCACGAGGCAACGGTTTCTTCTCGGGATCACCCTTTTGCAACTCGTCATAAACGGCGTCGTCACGTGAAACGAAAATTTCCCGTCAAGGAAAAGAAATTAGATGTAGAAAAGAATGAACTTTTATCATAAGAAAGGAAATTTTCAATCAATTAAACTGTAAAAAAAAAGGATATCTTTGAGGAGGAACTTGTCGCGGCGAGCTGTTTTGTGAGAAAATCTTCTCTTCTTTACTTTCCTGCTTGGGCATTTCCCCCCCATTGTTTCCCCTTCCTACTGGAATTATCTTGAATAGCGATTTTTCTATTTTCGTTGACTGAGATTTGGGAATTTAGGGTTTTGAAGTAGACTCCTTGGAAAACCCTAATCGAAAGGATAACCCAAGTGTTTGTCATTGACTTTTATTTGACTTGGTACGTCAATGGACGATGTCGTTTATGGAATATCATTTATTTTGGACCTGATACTTGGGTTTCGTGAGAATGAGAAGGGTAACGTAAGCATTAATTTTTTAGGATAAAATATACAATTAGCTATTGGTGTAAAATATTACTATAATATAAAAAATAGTTTTCTCTTAAAAAAAATCTAGTTTTCTCTTATTAGGTGTGTCGCTCATCTATTTTTTTTCGTCTTTGTTAATTGGCAGCGGTATAAATTTTAATGTTGATTTTCGACTGTCAGTATTCTTTATTATTTTTTTCTTTTCTATATCGTATATTTATTTTCTTTCATTTTTTTATTCTCAATAAGTATTCATGTGTTGCACATTTTCATCTGTCTTTATGACACGTTTTCTTATGTTTTTTTGGCATGTTTTCCGGTATTTTCATTTATTTTTTTTTTGTAAGGGTTGACTTGACTTCGCCATGACTGATCAATATGACACTTATCTGATATCTTGTTATCTTCGTTGCTTTGGATCCTTGGATTGGATTTGAATATACAATTTGCGTTCGTTGATAACTTTTCACGTCGCTCGAGTTTGATTTGAGGTTTGTCGGTATTTTTTTAATAGTTTGATCCCTTTTTGTGGTTCGTTTGTCGATGCGATAAAATATGTTTGTATCTATCTTTGTTCGAGTTTCTTGGTTAGATTTAATCTTTCCTTGTATGGTTCTTATGTGATCTTAAGTCGCTAGATTGTGGTTGTAAATCTTTATTATAATTTGGGATATTTCTTATGTTGAATAAAATTAGTTGCTTCTTTAAAAAAAAAAAGTACACAATTAGTTTTTCGACTATAGAGTGTTGCTTTATTGAATACTCTCACTATTAAAAGTTACAAAACAATCCCTTGATTATAAGATGTTTTGTTAAGTCATCGATTATTAAAAGTTACAAAATGGTTATCTAACTATTCATATGTTCCAAAATCGTCGTTTTCTATTAAAAATTATCGTTCGTTTGAGCTAGACGTTAATCTGCTGACTGAGATACAATAAAATTATATTTTAACGATGTTTTTTGACACTATCATTGTTTTCAATTATTGACTTGCTAACATAATGTTTCAAGCACCAGCTCTACGGCATAATCCCTTCTGGACATGTCTTTGATATCTAACATCAAAGTTGAAAATTCTCTTGCATACTCTGGTATGATTCCTGGATGTGACAAGTCTCTCAACTTCTTGTGAGCATTGTAATCCACATTCTTAGGGAGAAAAGAAGTCTTTTAACTATTTCTTTAACTCTTCTCAAGTCTTTACAGATCACACTCCAACACTGAACTTAGATTGTCACCATGACTTGGCATCACTCGTTAAATACATCGAAGTCATCGCAACTTTTCCTTCTCAGACTCGATGCGTATTGCTATGAAATACTACTCCATGTCAAATAGAAAAATTTCGAACTCCTTAGCATCCCTTTTCCCTTCAAAACGTCGAGGGGTTGCACTTATATTGGCCACTACCACTTAAAGCACACTAACTTGGGGCTTGAGCTCTTCCAATCCAAGTTGCATGACACATATGACATCTCTTGCCTCGTTCTTAAGTTCAATCATTTTCTTTGTTAATACCTCTTGAGTCGCTTCAACTCTTCTCATAAGTCACCTAAAATCATGTGAGCTTTGAGGGCCGCCAGTGCAACTTCTAATTCCTTTGTTTTCGTTGATCTACAGTAACACTATCTTATATAGTAGGCACCACAAATTTTTGCTCCTTATTTTTGGGGGAATTTGTTGATCTACAATAGATCCCTAATTGTAGAATCTCTAAGGTTGAGTCTAGATTTCATATTGCTCAAGTTTAACCTCTAATAATAAGTTTATTGAAATACTAAAATTTGCGATATTTTTAGAATTAGGTGTAAATTAAGTTTTAAGTTTTTATTTATTTATCTAACTTTTTAGGTGTCAATTGTAGAATGAATTTTGTAAAGATGTTAACAGAACTACTTTTAGAATATATTAGAATTTTGAGATATATATTAAATTATGGGATATAATTTTTTTATGTATATGTATTTTGTGTGATCTTTATATTTATAGTATTTTTTTCCCATATGTAGAGGTAGATAAAATCAAATCAAGTTATTACTCACTTCTTGTGTGTAGTCTATTATGTTAATATTTTGATGGGGTGTTTGTTGTTCTAAAACTAATTGAATTTTAATTGAAGTCAATATTTAATTCTTAGTTTACTTGACAAAATTATCAAAATATTTTTAAAATATAAATCACTATCGAAATTAGTTGTCTAAAGGTGAAATAATAATAATAACAAAATAATAATAATAATAAATATTGCGTGAATAGTCTGTGTCTACTTGTTTTCAGCAAACACTTGAATAGATCTTAGAATCGTAATTAGTTTTTTGTTGTCTGTAATTATAGGGTTAAAGTGTGAGAATGTTGTGTTATTGAAATTTTACTGTGTTTGAACGATTGTTGTTTAATATTCTTTGTTTAATTATTGTTGACTAAAAGAGCATGTTTCTGATTATGTACAATTAGAACATAAACATGTTTTCCTTTCGATTGAAATTTACGCATGCGTGTAATATTCGTTTATTAAATTAAATAAATAAATATAAATAAATTTTTTATGTTTATTTAATAAATGAATGAACACGAATATATATTTGTTCGATTCGTTTAATGTTCACGAACAACTCATTTATTAACATGTTTATAAGTTCGTTTACTTAGTCTTCATTTTTCTTTTATCTTTTTTATATTTTAAATGTTGATGAAGATAGAGATTAAATTGAACCTTGAAGTTCAAATTGTAGTGTAATTTTACCATTTTTATTTGACTTGCAAATATAAGGATAAAAAGAACATTTTGGCTACCAAACATTAAATAAACATATCTACGAACATTAATCGAATATTTTTACAAACACTAGACGAATGAATACAAAAATTTTTAAAAATAAATAAACGAACACAAATACGACACTAAAAATTTAAACGAATACGATCTAAATATAAACACCTTTAAAAATATACAAACGAATGCGAACAAACTTTATTCTTTCAAACTCAATTCATTTACACCGTTAATGCCCACCGACACCGTTCAAAGTTCAAACTACACAGATTAGGACATAAGCGTGCTTCGGTGTTTAAGGTTCAAATTTAACCCCTCATTATTTTTATTTAATTTTATATATCATATGAAAAATAAATTTATAATACTGCAATATAAATATTGAAAATTAAGTCACATTCTTCTATTAGTCCAAGTACCATATATATTACAGATGTAGTCATTATAGTTTAATTTGATAGTTTCCAATCCTCGTATTTTGCAAAAATTAAAATTTCAACCCTAGTTAGTAGTACAAATGATATCCTAAAATTTGTCAAGTCAAATTATGTTATTGATTTGTGTACTATATATAAGTAATACATTTACTTTTTATCCCTATACCATTTAGGTCAAGACTGGAAATTTTAAAATTCAAAACGAAAAACTAGTTCATTCTATGATTATGTATGTAAAAGACAAGAAGCTCTACAGTCTTGATACAAATAAGGTAATTTCTACAACACCGAGGCCAAAATAACAAGGCAAAGTAAGATAAAAGCAATGAAAAGAGCTGATTATAAAGATGTAAAAGTTAAAAGGACTTGCCTGAACCGATACCCTACAAAAAGCCTTCTAGAAAATGGACTAATCCGGCTTATTGTGGGGAAAAATTTTGTGAGGTGAAGATGATCCTACAGGGGAGGCTTCTGGAAAATTACTTTACACATTGTACAAATGGATGGTTTTTGACGGTGCTCAGCATGAAACTATGAATGTTCTTGCTTCACACGTGCTTTTAGTATTCCAGGGAGAGGCGGTGATGCAGGAAGCCTACCCGGTGTGCTTGTCATTGGAGGATGGATCTGTTGCTGGTACATCGCAGACATGCTAGAGCCTTCACCGTCTGCAGAAAAATTGTGCACGGTTTCGTCACTCTCTGGTCTCCCGCAGAATTTCATAGCCTTCAAAACATAATTGTCATCGTGGAGCTCAAATGGAGTGCTGTGAATAGAAAACCAATAAGATGGAAGGTAAAAGAAAATGCAAGCAATAAATCAAACTATATAATTTATCCCTCTACCCCAACAACCTCGTCTTTCCATCTCTCTGGGCTCCTTGGTTTACCATCACAACATGAGACAACATACTTATGCCACTCTAGTTGAGAATGACTCAAATACCCACCAAATGGAGTTGAATGGATACTGCAAGTTATTATAATAGTTTATAAAATCTTACCTATTAAAGTCAAAATGCACCAGCTGCATATCTTCTGATATTTCTACCTCAACGGTTGCATGAGGGCGTGTCTAAAATTTCCGGATGGCGAGAAAAATAGAGAAGAGAAATTAAAACACCTCAGGATTAATGGAAGAGTCCAAAGAACTATAAGGACACAGTTTGTGTCTGTTCAATATGTGCGTGTTTCATGATAGCCTATTAGCCTTAATGAAGAAACCTCATTGTGCAGCATTCTTTTTTCTTCTTGCAGTTAAAGAGTTATGAAAAGCGAGATAGATACATAACCAAAGGTTAATGCAATTGTTACTATTAATATGGGTATTTCGAAACTCTTGTTGAAGAAAAAGAAATAAGCATACAAATCCATTAACATGTTCCCCACTTGTCAAGTAGAAAAAGACATTGTAGAGTTCTCAATTTTAAGTCATCAAGCATGTGATCTAAAGCTGATTTACAGGAAAGAACTTTTAGAGCCAAAAACAAAGTTAACCAAAGAATAAAAAGCATTGGCGACAAGGGGATGGGGGGAATTTAAGAAAAACAAGCATATAGATGCAGATCTTAACAAATGTCCGGGCTTACTCAAAAACCTTAATGAAGTAATAATTGAAACAGAGTAACAGACCGCATGAGAAGTTGTCTGATCATATATTTTTAATTAAAAAGAAATGGAGTATCGCGAAACTTAAAGTTGATTCATAAGAACACAGAAACAATAAGTTGAGGGAGCTGGGATACTAAAATTTAGCCTAATAAACAAAAAATCATTGCATTACTTCAATAAATGGCATTCCTAATTCCATACAAGAATGAAAGACTTGAGAAGATAACAAACCTGCACCAGGATAAAAGGTAAAGCCACACCCCCACTGGGAGCATTTCCTGAGCTGTACAATTGCTCATTTTGTAGTATCAAATTCTGAAGACCTACAAACTGGGGGGGGGAGAAACCCAAGTACATGAACAACTGATAGCATGTAAAGATCCATATGAAACTTGTTGTTCTAAACATCTTTCTCTCTCCAAATGAAACAAGTAAATGATAGAAAAAACGGGAACTCTCAACACAAGGGGAAGCTAAAAGCAATTTCATGTACAAAAAAGTGAAAATTGAAAAGTGCACTATTCTTACCTGTTCCTCCAATTCATGCAGATAGGCAGCCTTTTTTTCAATCCTATTTCTCAGTCCAAGCCATTCAGTCTGAATATGTTTAATTAGAGGAGCTTGTTAAGCTCAATATCATATCCTTAGCAGATCACCTGCATAATAAACACGAAAACAGAGCTGTATTCTCACCTTTAGATCTTCTATATCATTCAAGCCAGTACGAGGAAGTCCCTTCCACTGTATTTCTTTTTTATCCTTAGATATAATATCCATTGCCATTAGTACGTTAAGAGCATCATAAACCCTTCGCCGAATGTTCTTCTCATCATATTGCTGCTTTTAGATATGAAAATAAATTAAAAAGGAAAAAGCAAATAATGGAGGTTCAATATTGTTACTTCCACTCTCTTAGAGGGTGTTTGGTTCAAGGATTGTGGGATTCCCATGGGATGGGAATCCCACATTCCCATGTTTGGTTGACCAAGAATCTCATTCCCGGTAATGTTTTATTACCAATAGTAGATTTTTTAGGGTATATTACCGGAAATGCCATTACCTCCCTTCCTTTAAGTATTGTAACATTACCGGCGTTTTGGACTAAAATGCCCTTAAATTTTTATTTTTATTTCAAAAATATTTTTATTCTGTTATTGAATAATAAAAATTCTACGAAAGTTAAATTACAAATTTATCCTTAAATTATTTTAGATTATAAAAAAAAATCTATAATTAAAATTTTATATGAAGTTCAAGGGTTAAAAAAATTTACCCTTTCATTAATTTTTTTTTATATTTTTAATTTTGTAAAAAAAAATTATATAAATATTATGAATTTAATTTTTTAAAGAAAATATATAAATATTTTACAATTTGTAATATTATACAAATATATAATAAGGACAATTTGGTCAAATATATATTCCAATAATCTTTTATTCCTTTAACCAAACACGGTAATCTTACATTCCTGCTAAATCAACCAAACACAAAATACAACATTCCCAGTAATCTTATTCCCTGGTAATCTTTTATTCCCACTGGTAATCTTACATTCCGTGAACCAAACGCACCCTTAGGGTAAAAGATGGAAGAGTAGACTGTAAAGATCAAGGAACCCAATATTGACATGTGGAAAGAGTTGCAAACCTTATAACGTGATGCTACGCTACCGCCTGGATCAGCAAAATCAGCAACAAGTTCATCTGCCACCTGGGAAAAACTTCCACTCAAAAATATAGACATGGACATATAAATAAATTATTATATGCAGACAAATGAGTAGCTTTCCAACCTTTTCAAACTATAGGAAGGCACAAGTTCAAGTGCAGGTAAATGTGTTTGCTAGCATGAGTACTAAATACTAGCAATTATGAATCACATTATGATATGATGTCAAATTGAAAGAGAAAAAATAACGTTATCATTCTGCTTAAAAGTTTGCAAAGTAAATGAATTAGTGAACATGCCATTCATGATTATTAAGAAATCAGTGAACATATAGGTTTCTAAGAAAGAAAAAAGCATGAAATCAATTTGTCAAGTCTACTCTTCATTGATATCTCATTTGCAAATTAGAAGCTTCTACATGGCAATTTTGGAGTGATATATAAAAAATTATATATCTTACTAGTATCATAGTTTTGCAATTCAGAGTTATGGCATGCAAACCCTAACCTATAAGAAGAGAGAGTCAAAAGCACAACTAGTTTGGACCCTGGTTAGACAAAAAAAAAAGAAAAAAAGAAATTTATCTTGAGTTTATCATATAACATGGAAATAATTAATTCAGGGAAAATTAGAACATTTTGCCAAAATGGATAGTGTGTATACGCACAACCATACGCACTGATACAATGACTATTGATAAGTTTACCAAAATCAACAAATATGACTGAAAGAATAAATTTCAGAAACCAACGGACCTCATTGTATGTGGTTCTTCCCTTACTTTCCACTTTTTCACAAACTGGTTAAAACCAAAGACAGTTCAAACAAGAAATCAGATAGATTAGCCACAACTGCTAACTCATCTAAAACATTCATGGCAGAATAACAAGAACATATAAAACAATCTCACATGAAACAGTATGTAATTAAGCTTCTAATGCAATATTTTCCAAGCCAAAAATCACAACCTTTGAAGGGTAAGAAAAAGTGTAAACAAAACCTTTCATGCTAAATTGACGGAGTCCTCTGCCACTTTTATCACCTCCAACCGCCCGTTGACCTCTCTTTTTCTTTTTATTACTGCAAATGAAATTGGCAATTAGTTAAATTCATGATTTACTCTTATCATTATAAAAACATAGAATGACCGGTGTCAACAACTGGATTGGGATAAGCAGAATGGAAAACACAAATGCAGTCATCAAAAAGTTCATAAGATTCACCGCTTTCCTATTATAGCCTACAAACAATGTTCAAATCAAGCATCATAATGCAATAATATTTACCAAATTGCACCACAAACAAGCATATTTTTTACATTATGAAAGCAAAATTCAAGACTATTATTCAATCGAAACCAGAACATCACCCACTTTCATAAAAAACCCACAATTAATCAGGCAGTTAACATAAGTATCATAAACACAAGTTAAAAGGGCACCTAAAAAGGAAGCACTCACCCGACAGCACTTTGAGATCCAGCATCATCTCCGTGAATATCGAGGTGGTTCAATCTTAAAAAAGTGTTCTCACTAGCAGGCGTAGCCATAGCCAGCTCACTCCGGCTCGAGGGAGAGCCAACACTGCCACTAATCGAAACGGATTGACCTGAAACGGCGGTTCCCCACGACCTAGAAGCACATCTCTTAGTTGGGTTTTTATCGCCATCTCCTTGGTAGTTATGGTTTTGAATAGTGTTACCACCAGTTACCATACCTAAAAAAGGACCAAACCCAGAAATTAAAAATTAAGTGGAGTTTGGGGGTTTTGAGACGTTAATAAAAGTGGGTAATAGAGATGAAGAGAAGTCAATGAGCATAATCAGTAATAGCTTGGCACCAAAAATTATTATCTCTATCTGTTTGATTATATTCCTGAAATAAAAAGAAAAGAACTATGATAGTGAGGGTGAAGGATTCTTAGCTAAAGGGGGTTTCAAACTTTCAAGGCTTTGAAGAGCAGTGAAGGCGGGGGATTGAACGGATTGATCAAAAGACCCAAATTGGGTTTAAGGATGGATATCAATTCATATAATACGAGTAAGACTCGATTTGCGTTAAAATTTTATATATTTTTTATTTTAAATTGTTTAAATTACTTGGGTTAACTTGAATTATGGAGTAGATTTTTTAGTTTGAATCGAATTAGAATTAAAAAAATTTGAGTTAAACAAAAAATTAAAAAGTTGATTGAATATTTAATAGTTTTATGATTTGGTCTCGAGTTTTTTCTTTCAATTCTTTTTTTTAGATTCATTTATTTCATCAAATTTAAACAACATATTCCTAAATTATTGTAGAATACCTATGTATCTTTAATACTTCTTTTTGATAACAAATTTTTTATTTTTAATTTAATCTCTTAACTTTACATGATTTCCCCATTTATTCAATTAATCTTTCATTTAAGTTCATTTTGACCAAATTTAAATCACATGTTCTTGTACTACTGTAAAATACTTATGTAACTTCAACTCCTATTTTAACGATACATTTATATTTTTTAATTTAATACCTCAATTTTATATTTTATTCAATTTAGTTTTTAAATAATATTTTTTTACAAAATATTTTCTTCCCATCAAGTTTTTGACTCCTTTATGTTATCTTCAATACTTTATTCTCAATATACTTTATTTGAGACATAATATTATAAATAGGGATAGGATCTTGTTACATAATCTAAACTCTTTTAATTTTACACAGATTTTGGATCGTTGGATGAGTGAAAATAGATGACTAATATTAATAGTAGGAAATAATAAGATATTCACCGGAAAAAAAATAATGAGTCAATCTCAGCCATCTATTTTAACTTATCCAACGATCCTAAATCTGTGTAAAACTAAAGAGTTTCACATTGTGTAAGTGGATTCTAACTCATTATAAATATATTCCATAATTATCAATTGTATTGGATTCATTAAATAACATTACATTGTGAAAAAAGAATGTGAATTATATATATATATATATATATATATATATATATATATATATATATATATATATATATATATATATATATTATGGTTAAAGAAAGTAGATAAATTTAAACTAATCAGGACTATAATATTATAAGTAATTACAATTAAATTTGTGTGTGTGCGTGCGCGTGTGAGTGTGTGGGAAGGTCAATCGCACAAACAAGGGAGATGAGGCTTAAACACCCTCACAATATGTATTCAAATAGCGATCAGATAGCAGAATAACAATTGTTATATAACGATAACTGTAACGATAACGGTAATATTCAAATCGTTATTGTTAAAAATAATGGTGGGAAGCAAAATCATATCAATAATGGTGAATCGCGATCATAATTTTAACGGATAGCGATAGCGGCATTAGTGGGTCACTATTATTCCTATGGACCCAGCCATTGTGGAGAAGTCATCGGTGCATAGCGATCTTGTTTCGGCTTCTGCAAGGGGTCCATTTCATGCAACTTCTTAGCTGCTTTAACATAAGAGCTTCCATCAAGAATGTGTTCCATTATAGATGTTGCCTCAGTTTACCATCCATGACTTCTGTGAAGAAAAACTTTCAGACCTGAACCAATTGCAGTGCCATTGACTAGAGTAAGTCCTTCTTTAGACTGCAACACAAAGAACCCTGAATCAACCTTATAAACCTTCATACAATAGTGAGTACTGCCACCTTGACAATTTACATAGTAGTGTACCTCAGTTATAACTCAACTGACCATGCCGAGTTAACTCAACCACCATCCGAGTTTACAATTATAGTTCAAGAAATTATACTAAAAAACAATTATGGCATTCCATTACTAAAAATGCTTATTCTTATTATATGAAAAATATATTTTCTGCAATTTATATTCTAATATTAACATTAAAATATTTTGGGTCATAGAGAAATATTTTATAATTTATTTCTTCAAAAAAGTAAAGTGATTTATGTATTTATACTTAACTTTGCATTGATACATTATAGAATAAATTTATTGTATACTACTTTTAATATTCATCTATCTAAACTTAAATTCTAAATTTAATTAGTCAATAAATATGGGTAAATATTGAGAGAAATAGAAAAAGAGACCAAAGAAATCAGATGACAACAACTAATGTCATCTTAGTAGAAAAGAAAATAATATTTTAAATTAAATGAAGATTTTACTTTTGATTTAAAATAAAATTATGAGGCCAAAATAATAATTTTTACTTTTAAAAAGATAAATTGATTGATTTTAAGAAACATTTGACTATATTTATTAATTGTGAAGCGAACAATTATATTTCAATAAATTATACTAAAAAACAATTACTACATTTTATAATTATTTTTTTATTATTATATTAAAAATATATCTTTCTAACATTTATATTACAATATGACATTATTTTGGATCATAAATAAAAAATATTTTATAACAATTCGTGGACAATTTAACTAAATCATTGATATTAATAAACAATAAAATTTGAAACTACTATATATATATATTTTTAGAAAAATAAGTGATAGAAAGAATTTGTCAATTATAGTAGTATAATTTTACTTTTGCAATTTTTTTATATAATATAGAGGGATTACAAGATAATGTATATTTAAAATTTCTCTTAACCATTAATGATGTACATACATCTTAAAGACATAATTGTTCTAATCTAGATTCTTCAAAAAGATAAGTATTCTTTAGAAAAAATTTACAACGCTCGCCGAGCATCGTTAACGATGAACATCATTAAATTAATTTATAAAACATTAAATTATAAACTACTAAACGTATAATTATAAATTAGTTAAAAATCTAAATGTAATTTAATTAAAACACAATATTTATAAAACATTAGTTTCTAGGGTAAACTATACCATTGACCACATAACTATTTACCCATTTTACTTTAACCACCAATATTTTTAATTTTGTCAATCGAGTCACCTAACTATTTATAAAACATTAGTTTCTAGGGTAAACTATACCATTTAGTCCTCATTACTTACATATTCTATTAATTTGGTAATATCTTTTAATTAATTCACTAAATTTAATCCTCAATCAGATGGTGAAATGTGTCACTATGTGATTGCATTTTTTTCTTAATATTTTTATTTAATTTAATAAAATTATCATCCAATCAAATGGTATCATGTGTCACCATTGAGGAGAGGAAGCAAACGTCTCAACTACTGGGCTGCACTATTCAAATGACAAACCTATCACAACATAATATATATAGTTAATGGCAATAAAAAGGGGAAATGACCTAATAAGAACTCATGTAATAATTGAATAATACGAAAATATGATATATATATATATATATATATATATATATATATATATATATATATATATATATATATACACACACACACACAAGAAAATTTTGGATTACTCTTGAAAATGTGATAAAAGTTTCTAAAGTTTCATCTTTAGTACTTAAGAAAAGAACCCAAGTAAACCTAGAATAGTCATCTACCAACACAAAAACATATTGTTTTCCACCCAAGCTAGTAGTTCTAATTAGCCCAAAAAGATCTATATGGATCAATTGTAATACTCTACTAGATGATACATCATTAATAGGTTTAAAGGAAGTTCTTTTATGTTTTCCTTTTGCACATGCATCACAGATTTTATCATGATTAAATTTCAGTTTTGGCAAACCTCTTACTAAATTTCCTTGAACAAGTCTTTGTAAAACACTAATACTAGTATGTCCAAGTTTCCTATACCATAACCAACAATCATGCTCATCTTTGGCTACTAAGCATAAATTAGTCATGTTGATGCTATCTAAATGCACCATGTATATGTTCCCTATTCTATGATCAATAAGCATAATCCTATTAGATGCAATGCCAACAATTTTACACCCATATTCAAATAAGACATTGTATCCTTTATCACATAATTGACTAATACTAAAAAGATTATGCTTTAACCCATTAACATACAAAACATTTTCAATTGGTATGGAAGAGGTATTACTAATAGTATCTATATCTTCTATGTGACCTTTTGAGTTGTCACCAAAGGTTACTACTCCTCCATTTTTGTCTTTAAGTTCTGAAAACCGACTCTTATCTCCGGTCATATGTCTTGAGCATCCACTATCAAGGTACCATGAATTTGAGCTTATGTTTTGTTCCTTGTAGCAATGCTCCTTTACCTACAAACATAGATTAAATTTTGATTTTTGGTACCCAAATTCTTTTGGGTCCATAGGCATTAGTCCCTAATAGCTTAGTCCCCTTGGGTATCCATTTACTTAGGATATCCTTATCTTTAGTAGTAATGAGTCCTTTAGGGACCCATATACTTCTAATGATCTTACAACTTGAGGCTCTTTGGGGACCTCTATGATTGTAAGATTTAAAGTTCTTTCTAACATAGTTGGAATTTGAATTTTGTCATTTTTCAAAACGGTTTGTTCTAACTCTATTGAAAGAAGCTTTAAGATCATCAAGTTTCTTTTCATGATCATCATTAACTCTTGAAAGTAAGTTGTACAAATCATAATTTTTCTTTTCAAACTCTTCTAGTTTGATTTGAATATTTTTGAACTTACTTTCGAGTTTACTGTTGGTCTTGGATAAGAAATCTGTTGAAAACATTTTAATATTTCGATATAACAAATAAATGTGTAAATTAATTTTTAAGATTTTATATTCGATTTAAATATTATATTTGATTCAATTATTCGAATATTATAAATATTACTCCAAGTTTTAAAATATCAATTTTTACTCCCTACTAAATGAAAATTTGAGATTTAATATAAAAATATTTTTGAAACAATTTTTATAAAGTATTTCGAACTCGAATAAGTCAAAAATATAAAAAGAGGAAGTATCGATACTGCTACAGTAGTATCGATATCATGCTTATAGTAGTACTGATACCATAAACACGGTACCGATACTACTCTTTTGGTTTTGACCCCGATATTTAACATAATGCCAAAATGG